ATCCCAGATCAGCACGCAGGTTCGAGAGAACTGTGCGTGGTTACGTGATCAAGTCGTGCCAGCTAACCAGAATCTCACCAGTCTGTATGCACACATCTCGACCCAGTCCCAGAACCAATCGGATGTACGCATGGCGCAGACCAACAAACTCGACACTTCGATCAAGGCGGCAAGTGGCCATATCCAGTCGCGGTTACGAAAGAACCAGAAGCGTCAGAACGTTCAGTTCATGGATGTAAGATCTCGCCTAAAAGGACTACGGGGTGAGCTGCAAAGGGTCGAGGCAACCGTTCAGCATCAAGGAAGTCAAATTCAGGCCGGCCTTTTGTCCAACTCATCCATGTTGGCACAAGAACTGAGGCTGGTCCAGAAAGGCCAGGAAACCTCGACACAACAACTGCAAGACATCCACGACAGTTCTCTTCCTACCGTGTCTAGTCAGGGGGTCAACCCAAGTACTATGATGACCATGATACAGGGAATCTACGGCCAGCTAAACCCTGGATCGGCTCTTGGAGATCCGCCGGCAGATGAACGCACCCTCTACCAGACCCTTGGCATGATCGAAAAGACAGTGGAGAGACTCGAAACTCATTGGATACCAACCTCGGAAGATGCCACTGAGCAAGCATCAGGACTGGCTCGAAGTGAGGTATCCGACAAGATCTTAACAATGGTGGAGCAGATTCACAGTCAGCTGGCCAGGGGCGACAGCCTTGTTGAGGAATCGAATGTTATGACTTTGGATGCGCCAAAAGATCAGCTTGCTCAGTCCACTGGTGCTCAGTCTCTCTCACCAGAAGTTGTCCGAATGATGGAACAACATCATATGGCTGTGCTCGAGCGGTTTGAGCTTCTCGAGCAGCAAGTAGCTTTCACCCGCCCCGAATCTAGTCAGAGTGGCGTCGAAGAGATCGATTTCCTACTCGTCCAGATCGAAGATGCTCGTCGTGTTGAGAGCCAGATTGAACTTCACATGATCGGAGACCTAGAAGCCCAGCTAGCCCACGAACGGACCGTCAACACGAAGTTTCTGGTCAACGCAGCAGTCCAACGTGGTCGCAACAGGATCTCCTTACTTGATGTAGCGCCAGCGGAGCAGTTCTGTGAAGATGATGGCTCATGGCTTCGCCCGTGGGAAGCAATCTCCGGGGTAATGGCGGAAGCTGACGCTCTCTTTGCCGAATCTGATCGACGGCACCTGGCACATGAGCTTCACTGTGAAAGACGCCGCAATACCTTGAGAGAAACGCGGTTGCAATTCATGCCCAAGCGGATCGATATAGCCATCGAGTGGGATCTTGAACTCGTCGAGTCGCAAGCCGAGTATATCCAGCTCCTCACAAATCATGCCCCTATTTGCCCTGCGGAAGATACTTCGCTCGCACTCCCTGTTGATGCTTTGGGACATACCCTTCCATCTGCGCTTCGTGCAGGCGTCCTTGGGCGAGATCTTCCTTCCGCGCTGGACCTTGCTACTGATCTCTTCACGTTGCAAGCTCAGAACGCTGTGCGAGCAGCAGCAGAGAGTGTTCACGAAGAAGACTCTGCACGTCTTTTCAAGGGTCTTGAGGGTATGCGGAAGTATCTCTCCATGCTTCATGGGCGGAGTGATCTGGTATTGGTGAAGAGAGCGATAGAGAATTTGCAAGCGGGGAGGGAGTGGAACAGCGACAATTTGATGGGGGAGCTGAGCCTTGAGAGCACTGTCGACACGTGATAGATTGAGCGATAGCTGTAGCAAGCCCTTATCATAGCTACGAGTAGTGTATAGAATGTCAAGTATTCCTTTCGCCACACGACGAAATGCGATTCAGCCGACAAAAGTTCTTGATATCACGTGAGTAGCTCATGCCTTGCGGATAATCCCCGTAGACCTAGCACAGACTTCATTGCATCATTGCACCTTAATGAGTCCAGACGAAGATGCATGAGTGCGAGCATGACGTGAGGCGTATCCATGAGAAGTCGGTGTTGCACACAGTCCTGTCGTGTCTATCTCCTCGTGACCCCTTCGTGCACACACCTGAAGAGCGACGTCGCATGCATATGTTCGCATTCTGTAATGCTTACCAAGTGCTATATAAACAGGCCCGCTCCAGCCCAGCTAAGTTTCGACGTCTCTCCAGTGAACTGCAACGTTCACCTCCTCTGAGCGACCCTCATGGCTACTCATCATTGCCGTGGAACTTGCAAAAACGGAACGCCATGCGGGAACCATGCGACGCGGATTGTTGGCATGGAGGATATCGGCTCGTCAAAGGCGATGGACACTACCCCCAACCGTTGCGCAAAGCATGTCGACCAAAAGAACGACTACAAGACCCCGACCAGAAAGCCAACACCATCAAGTTCCAAGAAGCCCGTCGCAGCATCAAACTCATCCGGCTTCATGCCGTCTTCTCCCGGCAATAAGAAGAAGGCGACAACCGAGCAGAAGAGACGCAAACCCTCAACAAGTATCTCCATCATCAGCGACACCAGCAGCGACGATGAACTAGCCTTCGAAGCGGTGGACACGCCAAAACCCAAGGGAATCATGAAGCGTTCTACACCAAAGCCAGAGAAGGATACCGTCAAGCCCAACGAATCTGTCATGACTAGACGCCTCGCCTCCAAGCGCCCCGTAGTGCTTGATTCTGGAGATGAAGACGAGGTCACACCTCAGCCTTCGTCGCGCAAACGAGTCCAGTTCCCAAGTCCAACCCCATCCCGGTATGGCACCGTCTCCCACCGGCTCAAAGCTGTTGTCGATGACACTGCTCATACCGCTAAACCGAACGCAATCCGAGAAGCCCTTGCTACCACGCCTTCAAAGGTTGCGAAGCCCACCACCGTCGCATCTTCCTCAACCAAAGGCAAGAAGCCGACAAACCAAGCCATCAGCAACGCACTCCAGAAATCTTTCCCTCCGCCTTCGAATGATGGCAAGAAGGGTAGCCCACCAGCTGCTCCATCCTCCCGACCTCCAACTCCTACGACAAAACCCGGTAAGCAGTCCGCCGCCAAGAAACCAGCCAGCAAGACTGTGAGCCGAGTACGGAGCCCGGAGATGGGAGAATCTTCGTCGCATCCGATCCCATCAACCGAAAGAACCAGCATCTCGCCCCCAACCCGTCCACGTACCGCCGCCACCCCTACCCGAAAGTCACCCCGTACACGCTACATTCAGCCCGAACTCCGGGTCCTCGACGGAGCAGCAGTTCCTCTTCTGCCCAACGACCCTACCCTCGCTGCGCAAATGGAAAGTGTGCGTCGATCCGGTCTTCAGAACGCCGAGGATATACGTGAGTTGTTGCTCCGGGTTGAGGTATTGGAGAAGGCGCTGGAGATGATGGCTGGGGCGGACAAGTCGAAGCATCAGAAGCGTGAGCAGAGACAGTGGGGGAAAGTCAAAGGGAAGGACATCGAGGATGAGTTCATCTTCACTTGATGTCGTCATGATGGTAGAAAAGACGGGGGTGTGGAGGATTAATGTGAGAAGATGCGTGCCAGTGTGGAATGGAAATGGGCGTCTGGGATAGATTGGGAAATGACGTATTGCTGGAAAGATGGATGCGACTTCGGGCATGTGTATTGAATGGCGCAGTAGATGGTATGAAAGATCAAAAGCCGGAATTGACGTCAATCGTGTATGCCAACGTACCCTCGCGGGACATTAGCGATGGACCATAGCAGCATAATTCTCATACATACCATATTCCAAAGAAGATCCATCCGTCTTTCGCTCAGCCTCATAGCTCATTGCCATTGCCGGCCCCTCCATCTCCTTCAACTTTCTCATCTTGGTGATCTGCCATGTCCTCGACCTCTCTATTCACCAGCCCTATTCTCGCATCCATCCCACGACCCCACCGCCCGACCCAGCGTCCAAAATTTTCAGCCACCTCACTAACAATCTGGCCTGGGGTCGGGTCCTTAGGTGCAGGGTTGCCTAAGCCAACGACATCGTTTATCCAGGCATTGAGGTTGGTGAAAGAGCGGTCAACAGGGCCCAAGGCACGTTCGGCGCGAGCGGTCCAGTTCTCTTGGTCTAGCGCGATGACGGCGTCTTGCTGCTGGCGTGACGGTGATGGCGGTGATGATTTTGGTGGAGACGGTGATGGCGGCGGTGATTTTGGTGGAGACGGTGATGGTGGTTTGGGGATTGCACCCGTAGGCGGGTCGTTGTAGTGCTGACGTTTGGTGGTGCGGTCTTCCAATCCTGCTTGTGGTTGCTTGCGCTTTTTGCCATGACTTGGGTGCGGGGATGACGTGAGAGCAGCGTCTTGCTCCGTGTCGTCATTGCTTACTTCTCCGTCTTCAGCTGAGTATGTTGCCGCCCCCACCTCGTCCTCGCTCTTATGATCCGACCCGGCATCTTCATTCGCATCGAGGAATTCATCGTCATCATCGTCCGGATCCTCCTCCTCCTCTTCCGCTCCAATCAACCCACTCGCCCCTACCTGGGCTTTTCGCTCATCGTGAGCGACCAAAAGAATCGCTCGATCGACCTTCTTAGAGGGCATTGGTGTAGGCTTCAGGTTGCGCCTGTTGATCTCTCGTCGTAAGTTGTCGGACGTCCATGTCATGTACGCTTCCATGTTCGGAGACGCGGGGATTATCCAATATCGGGAAACGTCCAAGTGTAAGTAGGAAGGCATCGAGCTTTGTTATATGTCGAGCTTGCGCTTGCTCAAGCGGGTTTGCTGTCCTTTGTTTAGGTCACGTCGAGGACCCTGTCACATGCTGGAAACATGAATGAGTCGAAGACCGTGGTGCTGGATGACTGCTGCATGTGTCCGAAAATGATGAGATATATCGGACAACAACTTCCATTGTGTGTCATGTTTGAGATACGTACAGTAATGCTCGACGACATGAGACAGACATTGCCCATGGCAAGTGACATGCCGCCATACACCCATCCTTCGACATTCGACAAGCAAGAACCGAAGACACGCTAGTCCCGGAGACTTGAAACGGTCTCAAGTCGGTCGCATGGGCACGTGTATCAGGCCTCATGGCAGAACGTCGTTGCCATTATCGACATGGGGCTTCATGTCGGCAGACCCAATACTGACGCCTTGACGAACCTGCTTGCCGACCTTCCATATCCATTGCTTCTTGTCCTCTGCATCCATATCTTTGGTGTGCGCAGGAAGTGTGGTGGTCCATGTCCGGGGGTCGACCGCTGCCAAGTAATGATCCAGATCATGCTTGGACATGCTCATTACGTCTTGCTCTCCCTTCAGAGCTTCAAATAACTGATTCATCCAAGTCATCTGAGGTTTTTCTTTGTAGTAGTCGGTAGCATCACAGGATGCTGCAAAGATCTCGTGGCACATTTCCGACGGCAGTGGTTTTGTCCAAGCTTGGTACGCTTCGAAGATTGCGTTGCCGAGTGAATCGTTGAGAGGGCGAATACCGGAAGCGAGACTAGAGGCGACATTGTCGTGGTAGATCCGTGCAGCGTCGCGTACGGCCTTGTGGAGATTATCCAACGCGGCCTGGTCTTGGTGGGCGTTATGCACGTCAGGCGATAGGAACGTGGACATGTTGTGGTTCTTCCAGAACTTCCAGGAGCGGTATGGGCGGCAAATCCTGGAGCAAGTATCAGACATAGCAGTAATGGTTGTAGTCTGGAGGCGATGAAACTGTGCGGTGTGGTGGAGAGTCAGGTCGTGTAGTGACAAAGCGCGGGAGTTGATAAGCCCAAGACGCCTGTCGATAGCTTTGGCACCAAAGGCTGGACCATCTGAGCGCAGCTCAATGGACAGTCGGACTGTCAGAGGCGGGATGTGGCTGCTCCGTATATTGAGCATTGTGAAACTCGCAGGATCGGTGCATTCATCGCTAGGGAGAGATACGTCGGGGCATGCGATGAGAGGGCAAGTACAAGACGGCTTGCCTATTGACCAGATGGGCTGTGCAAGAACCGCAAGGACCACGCCCAAGAGGCAGATGAGCAAGACGAGGACCCTGCTGCACCATCCGGTCGCGCGACGTCGCGAAAAGTTTGGCGTCTTGCCCCTCGCCCTGTGTATCTATTAGCCCCCATTTCCGAGTCGTAGTCGTCTCTATTTACGTGTGACTCTCGCGTGGGCGTAGACCCGTGTCCATGATCGATGTTTCGTGCGACGCGTTGGCTGTACTTGATTGGCGCGGCTGCACTTGTTCGGGCAGTCGAGATCGAGGAAGGTCGAAACGTGATGGAACAAAGGGAAGGAGGAAGATTAAAGAGCTTTGAGTTTTGGGGTGTCGGCATAAAGCTTTTCTTTGTGTAACGTTCCGAGGTTTGTTTGCTCTCTCAACCCCACGCGAACTTTGGCAACCATCGACCGTTGTTACATTGGCGTGAGGAGCGAGCTTCTGAACTTGTCGAGTCGGAAGACATCTATCGAGCAATCTTTTGAAATGGCGCATCAAACGTCGAGTAGAGCCTGGGTGACAGTTGTCACGCGAGATGAGGCTGGCAAGGTGATGAGCGAAACGCGACGATTCATGAGGCTCAGCAACGGTGCGTCTGGCTCCATACCCCCGTCTAATCTCGGATCAAACGAGTACTGACTTCTCCATTCCAGTGGAGCGCTTCTGCTTGGACAGCATCGTACACCGCGCAAATGCTCCAGCTGCTCGGCCATCCTCCAAATACCGCCGCCGCACGAGAAGCGAGCCAAGCTTACCCTCTCGAGATATTCACGAAGCCACACGCAGTGTATCGGGCGCGAGGCCTTCGGGGGAGCGGCGCAGACATAAGCTGGGAAGACGGATAGGAAATTTGGTCAAACGCCACGGGCGGAAGGTGGCAGCAGCAGTAGCTGTGGTCGGCGGCGTTGGCTGCATCGGCTGCATCGGCTGGGGTCTTTACTCCTGCTTGACTGCTGCACAGCCCGCGATAGCACCCATCGCAAAGAACGCCTACACTCTGCTGAGCATGCCGGAGCCTCTTGACGACCGATGGGTTCCTCCGCTGGTGCAGGTACGTAAGTACTGGCGAGAAGCAAACCGCTCGTGGAACGAGCGGATGTGGCAGGCACGCGGACTGCCGGACGCAGAGACAGGCCTGCGGGCATGGGAGCTCATGCGAGAGGCTTTCGAGCGCTTCGAGTCGTATTGGGAGGACCCCAAATCAAGAAGGGAAAAATATGGGCAGGCAGGCGGTACGCTGCACTCTGTCCTTGCGCGAGACCCGACATATAAAAAAGCAAGAGCCCTGTTGGCGGATACCTGTGTCGGAAAGAGGACTTTGCTGCAGGCGTTGACCAACGACGCCTCCAGAGCCTGGAGCGCTGCCTTGGGAAAGACAGTGGGGTCACAAGACACTACTCTTGCGGCACTGCAGGAGGCATGCCCCTGGACCTTGCGAATGTACCTGCAGCCGTATGCTCCGTCGCGCATCCCGCCTGCCTGCGTAGACCGATACTATGGCAAGATTTCGAACATCAAAGGGATGGACAAGACTCCACCAGGGATTCCGTTACGATTTCTCCGCGCGCTGGGCCGGCAATATGACTACCCTTGGTGGATATTGCCTGATTATTACTGGCTGATCAATTTGTGGGGGAGAATGTTCCCGGAACCGAGATGGTGGGCAGACGAGAAGGTCGAAGCCTTGGGCGAGTTTGGCAAGGGCTGGGTTGTGCATACCGACATTCAGCCCTGGGCAACTTTCGGTCGAGAAGAGAACTTGGGTCAAACAAGGATGCGGTTGTAGAGGGGTGGCTGAGGCTGAGGTCGCGGCTGGTTCGTACAAACTGACGAGATCGAGTCCGTATGCCAGTCCGGATAGAGACTCGATAGCTTGGCGCTCACCTGCGGTCGGACATCGGCTCACCGAAGCTCCGACGTTGCCGCCGCAAGGTAGCCGCGCACCTTCATGTAGTCGTCGCATCCGAAGCATGCTGCTCTTTGTCGTGCGACCATTCTTGGTGCCAAACCTGATGATATCGTTTCTTGCCCGCACGTCTCTGAAGAGGCCCATCGACCCGCTGATACGTGACAACAACTAACGTGCGAACTCACCCACCATCTGCTAATAACCAGAGCTTCGACCATTCTAGATCGGAGAAAGCAACGCCGACATATACGAGCCTTCGAGCGGGCTTGCGACCCGGCCACCGACTCAGACGCCATAATGACACTACCCATGCACCCGGCAGTCACCCCGCGCCGAACGACGTCGTATCGCGAATACGACACCGGCCACGAGCTGCCTCGGCAAGCAGGACTCTGCCGCAGTCTGAAGGAGCCCTCAAAAGCAACTGCAGACGTTCAACGCGCCCAATGACGGCATCGCGTATCTTGAGACTTACAATGCAAGTCGGCGCGTCTCACCACGCGGCCTGATCATGTTCAGGGTCAGAGGCATACATACATTTTGTCACTGCGCTGAACAGGCTGAGCTTGACGACACATGTTGATAGGAGGAGAGCGATCAGACTGTGTCTTCTGCATGCCGTGGAAAGCGTTCTGGATCAGATGGCTTGCCCAGACAACACTCGAGCGCTGCATGCCGCTGTGTCGGTCTCATGGCATGGTATGTCGTCTCGTTCTCTCTAGGCGCATTCTTCATTAACATCGTCTCAGCATCCACTCCATTCTCACTTGCTCGTACCGCCTCCGAGGTCGCACATCGTCCCCCGTGCACACGCTCATCGACAGCTACCTCTCGAACGATCTATCATCCGCAAAACCCCGCCCGCAGGCGACGTCGAAAAGCCCCCCACTCCACACCAGCCAACCGTGAAGGCCGCGGAGAATACAAGCTGCATATGGGTGGAGGTGGGATATAAACAGGAAAGCTCGGTGGGCACTGGATTGCCTTGTGCCGCAGAAACTCTCCCGCCACACCAAAATGGGGATCACTTTGTTTGGGCTAGCGCGTGGAATTCAAATCCTCGAAGAACAACGGCTGAATCCGCTGGTGCATCGTCACCGACTGCGCATCCTATCCTAGGCGAGGTTTGTAGTCCTCGCGCAAGCGAGCTGCAGAAGAGCGCTTAATCAACAACTGCGCCCCTAGTTGCTCGCAGTTTTGGATAGAATGCCAGTGCTACCGCGACCGGCCGGATGACTCTGTGCCCTGGCATGCCGTGCCGTGCCGTGCCGTGCCGGCGTCTATGAATGGCGCAGAGAGGCAGATGATACTCGTAGCTGGGCATGTTACTGCCACCGTGGCTGCGCGCCTGACGATCTCCGCTTGGATGGCGGTGCCCACACCCCAGCCTCATTGTGCACGAAACCTTAATTCCACAACCCCAGCAACAAAATCGTCGCTCCTACAGTTACCCCCACTTATCATTGGCGATTTGGAGGCTGCGCACTGCACATGAAGAGCGGAAATCCTAGCGCTGAGCTAGCTTCGGCGCCATTCCGGCTCCAACTCGCGACTTCCAAGGTCACATTGGGTAGCTCACTCCGCACATCCTGCGCGTCTACAACTGTGCCGTAACATTACCTACAGGAGAGGGTTCACAAACCACTGTTGTGACGTGACACGTCACCTGGGCAGTACTCCCAGCTCTATTTGGGAGGACGACAATACAAAAATCGACGTGGACCACATGTCTACCTGCCTTCTTCTTCGCTTATCCTTTCAAACTCTCTACTGCATCTATTCGGCGAATTCAGTTACGCTACAGCCCTCTCAGCATGGAAACCTTCCGCGATACACTGCTAAGCCCGTTTCCCAAAGGCCCATCGGACATCACAAAGTTAGACGACAGCACCCACGACCGGCAGAACGTCCGTGAATGCATCGCCCGCGGGGAGATCGAGCAGCTTCGCCTCGGAGCCTTTACCAACCGAACCTGGATCATCAGTGACCGGTATTGTGCTGTGGGCGACGCAGTCGATTCTCTTGAAGGCTACCTGCATTCCATATGGCACATCTACTATCAGCTTGGTCGGCTGACGTCTCATCAAAGCGCTGACCAAGACCGCCTGGTCCTGGACATCGTCCGCATCCAGGGACTTGGCCCCCTAACTAGGCCTGTGTCAGGAAACTACGGCATCGATATCGCACGAACAGTGCAAGGCACGCTGTGGAATGATCTGCCCTTTCTGGCCACGGACATGACGGATTTCTGGATCACCAATTGCGCGCCCATGTCCGGTGTTCATCGCCTCAACTTGGCTTCCTTCTTGGCCAAGCTGGCGTCAACCCGCGTGGCCAACCAAAAGATCTGTCAGATCGCTCTCGTCCTGTTTCGATCCACATTTGAGGAGACACGAGCCCTTTGCAGCCCAGAGACGCCAGACGAGGAAGATCTATCTCGCGACATCCGCAGCCTTACTGTTGCGGATTTGCTGCCAGCTGCTTGCGCATGGATCAAGGAGGCCAACTACTGCCTCATACAGCTATCGGACGCTTTCTGGAACGACTGCCCAAGCACGCTTAGCAAGGGTGGTCAAAATTTTGTTGAATCTGAGCTAGGAATGCGTTCGCCAATTGGTTTTACGCCGTGGCGATGGATGTACTGGCTGAAGCGTCTGCATGAGATTCGGGATGAGGGACACGCCGCCCACGAGGAGCGCCTGGAAGAGCACGCTACTG